CCCCCCCCCCCCCCCCCTCAAAAGGCCAGTGTTTGTAATATTCTTTTGAAAAGAGCAAGTGCGACTCGGCAGTGGCTGTGATTTATGAGCGTTTGCGGCGGCGCAGCGTGGCGTGGAGGAGAACCAGCAACTCCGTGATCGAAGTCCTCATCTGGACCTTTTTTCTTCCCCCCCCCCCGTGTGTTATTACAGTGGAGGTTTTTTGGGTTTTTTTTTTTAAACCACATAATCTCCTGGGAAAGCAGACATGATGGCGTGATAAACCTGTAGTCTGCCAATTAAGCGTTGGACATGAAACCTGTTTCCTCTAGAGTGGTGGATGATGCAGAACAGAGATGAAGAAGCTCTGCTGCTCTCTGAGTGTCTGGCTCCACCAAGTGACCAAACACGAGACATGCACCCAGCTGTGGAACAAGGGGGTGAATGAAAAGGGTCCGTCACTGAGGTTTCACTCCTCACACAGCCATGTGTCAGTTAAATAGAAGACGCAGACACAAATATATAAAGATGATGATGTAATAATGTGAATATATCAGAAGACGGTGGGACCATAAGCACCACTTCATAACTTTTGTTATGTGTCATTCAGCATGAATAAAGCAATTTAAAAAAAAAAAAAAAAGAGTGATCGGCGAAAGAAATCTTAGTCGACTGAGACCAAAACGCAGCTAATCGACTGAGACTTTTCTTTCTATTACTAAGGCCAGTGTGTGTGTATCCATTCCTCTGATGATTACCTTCACTGTATTCACACTAAAGCTAATGCTAAGGAACCCAATGATTTGCTAATAAGTCGTGATAATCAATAAGTAAAAGCAGTCCCACATTTAAAAAGTTTCAACCAAAGCTCTGACGGCCACATTGTTTCTGAGTGTCTGCTGCCACCTCGTGGCCATCTGCTGTTACTACACACTGAGGGAAATATCAGTGCCGGTATGTGAAGCTGGGTTCAAGCCTCTCTATGCACAATAGAGTAGATCCCGTGAAGTATTTATACATGAACTTTTTCTGTGCATCAACGTCAGCTGCAGGTCTGCAGCTCATGAGTTTGTAGTCTGTCTTAGTTCACGCCGACTTCTAGAAATGAGCTCATTCCAAACCGCTCAACGTTTTCTTTGGCCGTTTTTTCACGCGCGAAGGTTTCCATTTCAACCACGAGCTAAAATCACAACGCGGCGTGCTAATTTAAGAGCTGCGATCACAAAATGACTTGTGTGATGATGCGTGTCACTGACTGAGATGTTTGCTTGTTAGAGAATTCAGAGAAGTGGGGGTCTGTCACGGCTGAAAGTACGACTTAGCGTAAAAGTTTAATTGTAGAAATATGACTTTATAAGTCATATTTTAGAACAATGTTTAAAGCCTGCTGTCTGTTTTTCATGTTATTCTAAATGTATGTAATGTGTGTAAAGCACACATGCGTGCACATCTCCCCTCGGATGTGAAGGCACCACCAACGAATCAGACGGCGCTTACCGTGAAATGCTCCTGGGACTTGTAGTTCTCGTCGAGGTAGACGCGGGCTCTGCTGTACTCCCTCATGGCGTCACTGGACAGCAGCTCTCTGATGGACAGCGCACACACACACATATATAAGGAAATGTCCAATAGATCTGGAAGCACCTTCCAGTTGAACCATGTTTAGAATATCCTGGATATATCACTACAGGTAAGAAAAAAACGAATAGGTATGCGCATGAAATCGTATGTTTATATATGCAAATGAGGCGTTATCTTATCAAATATGTGATAATTTGCATACATTTCAAAACCTGAACATTGGATGAAGCTAGGTTCAAAATTCTTGTTTCACTTAGTTGAGGTTTTTACAGAGAGGACTTTGGATCTTTGCATCACTCCATAAATCACAAATTACCTTTAACAGCGATTAAACAGGAACAAAATGTTGTATGAATCAGGCTATGAATGCTATATGAACAAACCCCTCTGTGCTAACCTTCAGAATATAGATAGGAAAGAAATTGGAAAGTTTGGTGATGTAAGTGCTGCTGGCTCAGAGCCTGAGAAAAAACTATTTAGAGAAAACACCTTTAAAGATATGGATTGTAAAATTAGATCCATTTCAAGACACTACAGGTGAATCGGGTGAACTGTTCTAACTAATAGATATCACCATGAAACTTCCCCGGTTGATTACAATTAATCTTTGTATTGGTATATCGGTAAATGGACTGTACTTGTATAGCGCTTTTCTAGTCTTCCGCTTTAACACTACATGTCGTCATTCACCCATTCATACACTGATGACAGGAGCTACCATGCAAGGGGCCACCGGCCCATCAGGACTAACTAACATTCATACTTCAGTCTTAGTATGGACTAGCAGAGCCGGGGATCGAACCACCGATCCTCTGATTGAAGGACGACCCTGCTCTACCACTGAGCCACAGTCGCCTTGTTTTCTACATGTTTTCTGAAATGGTACGTTTAAATATGCAAATGAGACATCATCTAATGTTAAGTTTTGGTAAATGTCTTAAATACACAAATTAAAAAATATATACATAATAAAATAAATTGAAACACCTAAAGGTGTATTGTGGATGTTTTCTTTCCTCTAGTCTGAAAGAAGACATGTTATATAGAGGCAAAATACCCCCATAATAGACCGGTGCATGAAAAGCAGTGTTTTTGCTTGTAGTATCTGCCTGTGACGTACATCCGTGATGCGACCAGTGGGGGGAGCAGTCCGCCGGGTTTTAAACTACCCCTGCATGTACCACATGGAGGGGGGGATGTTTCTTCATCTACTTACCATTACAATCACAACAATTAGGCACACCGGGAGCGCAATACTTACTTGACAAAACAGTCCACGTGGGACATGGATGCCTCGTAGTTCTTCCCGCCCACCTCCTGGCAGTGCACCGCCAAGAAGTGCGGCTTGTGCGACTGTACCGTCTGTAATGGAAGAGAGGGGACACACACACACACACACACACGCACACACACACACACACACACACACACACACACACACACACACACACGTTAAAAAGAGCCTAACAGTGCTACTGTACTTTTATTTTACAGTGCAAGTGCAGCCACAGCAGTTGAGAACGACGCTACGGCAAGCCCGTGTGCTCATAATACACAAATCTCAGGCCGTTCGGTCGAGGGTGAAACCTAAACGAGCGCGGACCCTGGGCCCCGACAACTCAACTCTGTGACATGCTACCGTATTTACACAAGACAAAGTGCCTCGCTAATGTAGGCATAAGGCACTTAGTGAGCTTGTTCCGAGAGTCGGCCTCCTTCTTCCATCCACCAGAGAGGGGGGGCAGCACAGCGTGCGTGTACACCGGCGTGCTCGCGCTCAACACATCGCTCCCGATACCGCGGGAATATGTCAGGACGCGGTTATTAGAATGTGGGCAAATACAGGCTGTTGTAGAGGAGAGAAAAAAAAGAGCTTACGTGAGTCACGTGACCTCGCGTTACCCTCCTTCAGCCTTTTTTCCCCTCGCGCGCGCAGCGAAGGTGTTTGTGAGCACCCTGTCAGAGGTGTTTGGGGCGGCTGACCTCAAATGGAAAAATCAATACCACGGAGTGATTTACAGCACTCACGAGCACTCACACAGGAGGCCGGGCCGCGTGGACGGTAGGCAGAGAGAGACGCATACATCAATGTCACGAGGGGGAGGAGGAGGGGGGTGGGGCGACAAATGGTCCCAGGGCCCGAGTGGAGCACCCAGCTACTCGGGCTGGCACCTCCACCTCGGCCGCTGCATTGCGCTCACATGCGCGGTTCAATCAAATAAAAAGTAATGTATGGCAATAACACTATGGATTTTCCATCAACCTATGGCTTGTCACTTAGCCTGGCGACCCAAAGAGCCGGGGACCTACAGCGGCTTAAACTTGGGCGAGATTAGTGGACCTATCAACTCACAGTGGAAAAGGTCACACTCTCAAGGAGCCTGCAACTAATGTCAGACGTTAGTGGGACGTGTGTGTGCACGTGCCTGCGTTAATCGACTGCATTCTATTTATCTTTCCAGGCTGTAAATTCAGGGCTACCTTGGCAAACAGACAGCATCCAGGAGGTACATTTCATTAGTAGAATGGCCAGTGCTATCAGCCCAAATCCAAACAGCATCAACCGGTGACCTTACTTTACTCTGGCGAAGAGCAAGCCCGGTGACCAGTGTCTAATTAAAACCGGCACCACTGTTAACAAGAGATTCTGTTAACTTTTTGAGTCGCGCAGGGACCGAAATATTGACATGGCAAATATCGGATCCATAAAGCGTGATTTTACGACGGGCGACAACAGTAGTGGCCTCTCTAAACAGCCCTCAGACTGGGACAGTTGCCATGGCAGTGCTAAGGAAATAAAATTTTAAAAAGCCTGTCTGGTTGTGCTGACATGACGAACAGAGTGAGTGCTGCCATATGGGACCGTTTCTCAACCTCACCAGGATGTCAGACGCTGTTTCAGATGGAGATGCGTCCTCTCATCCTCCCTCTCTCTCTTACCATGACCTGATTCTTAACATTTGAGATTCCAAGGAAGGAGTTATGTCTCCTGGTTACGTATCATCATGTTGTGGTTTTATTGTCGATCAGAGAGAAGGTCATGAGACACGTCATGCGAAATAACAAAAACAAACAAACTGTATCATTTCTCAAACTAGAAAAGGCTCATTTCATTTGTGAATAAACTGTAAGTGTGTTCGCTGCTGAAAATGTTGTGAAGTTGTACTCGGAGTGGAAGCCTATGATAAAAAAAACACTACAAGGAGTGTTAGAAGTGTAGAGGTGAGAAGTGCCAACTAAAGTGTAAGCAGTGAGTTAAGCATCAGTTGAAGTGAAGTGCTGAAAGGAGTTGAACTGTCAGTCAAAGCGTACGTGATAAATGAGCCAGGAAGTTTCAGTAAAAGGGAATTCCTGAAGAAATTAGTGACAGATTAAGCGCACAAACTGAAACAAGATATCAGTTGAAGTGTGAGGTGAGTTGTAAACACTGTCGTAACATAGTCATAACGTAGTCGTAACGTAGTCAATTGTGTAAAACAAGTGATGGTTGTTACCTAGAGGAGATGTATAAGTTGTTTTATGTTCAAAGCTGAAGACCTGACAGGGTTTGAAGTGTCAAAGCGTGACGGGGAGTATGAGGTCATCGGTAACGTTATAGCTGTGAACATAGCAGTGCACCGAGTGTACAGTTTATTTATCTGTAAATAAATGCTACAACTCCTCAAGACCCAAGCCAAGCTCCCGTGTTTTGCTTGCTACCTGTTGATTCAAGTGAAAGGGTCAGCCCCAGGCTCTCTTAAAGGTGAACCAGCTTTTCTTATTTTAGTGACAAGCTGCACAGCATCTTTGACCAGCAACCACACCACCAACAGGATATCTATTATTATTCTTTTTATCAAAAAGAATATATTGTTTTTTTCATTGAATTGTCTGGAAGATCCCAGCAATGAAAGTTTGAAATCATATTTTAGTTGCTTTTTCTGAGTTGATATAAATGTAACTATTTTGGTTTAAATGGGCATATGATATTGTCTCTTATCAATAACAGGCACCTGAATTGGATCTAATCGAAATCGTATTGTGATTGAGATATCAGCAAATATGGTATCGTCCAAAGAATCAATATAGTTTTGTATTGTGATGAAACTTGTGATTTAAACCCCGATTGAAAAGAAAGCAATTAATGGAAAAGCAGTCGAAGTGTCTGTTGATGTGTAAATGGTGAAAGCAGTCGAAATGTCTGTTGATGTGTAAATGGGGAAAGCATTAAAACTGTCTGTGATGTGTAAATGGAGAAAGCAGTCAAAATGTCTGTTGATGTGTAAATGGTGAAAGCAGTCGAACTGTCTGTTGATGTGTAAGTGGTGAAAGTATTTGCAAAGTCAGTGAAGAGCAGGATGAACACTTGAGTTGTGAGTTGAAATGTAACTGATGAATACAATTGAAGTGTCCGTTAACGTGTAAGTAAAAGTAGTTGAAATATCAGTTCAAGCACTGAAGACAAATGAGTAAAAAGAAGGCTTTCCGTAGAATTTCCACCCAAATACAATGCATGCTGGGAAGTGTTCTAATAAGCTAACAATGTTTCTAAAGAACTCCATTTGATGAGCTCAGTGAATGATCACTAATGCATTGCGTTTCTAAAATGCTTCCATAACTAAAGACCACATATTAACAGAACTTTCTCACTTTGTAAGACAAACACTGTTTTTTTAATGCTGATAATTGATATTTCAAGTTCTGACAACTTATATAGAATATAATGTGTTTTTATAGTCGGTTTCATCTTTATCTTAAATTAGTTTGGGACTGTGCCCCAGATACCTTCTAGTATACAGAGAGGGTCTTTGAAGAGGACTAACCAGGAAGTCCTGAGTCCTATTTGGAGGTGAGAAATAATCACAGGGATGAGAGGAGTTTGTGAGCCGACGTACAGCAAAGATTTGTGGGACTTCGGGATTTCACTGGCCTGTGACGGCCCAGAGACGTTTCCAATGCAAATTGGCTGTGGGATTATTCAATTAAGTGCGGTGCAATGCAAAGCGCCGTTTATACTGCAGCAGCAAGGCCGGATTCCCATTCAACCCAGTCTATTGCGCACATGCGGAGCAGGCAAATGGCCCTGCTTTGCTTATGTGTAAATGACTGGGGTATCCTGAGACCGGGGATTTGATCGGACTTACTGGCAGGAGAAGTGAGGAAACGAGAAGCAAAGACTGATGAAAAAAGCCTTAGTCACTGCATGTACAATGTGCCTCCCAAATAGTGGTAGTTAAAGGGACAGTTCACCCCAAAATCAAGAACACGCATTTTCTTTTTTCAAAAATAACTCTCCCTTTAACTGTAACTAAACCTGCTCGATGTTTCTGCGCGTTTTTCTGTAATTACCATCTCAAATATTCGCAGCGCTTAAGAGCATATAAAAGGAAAAGCTGTATGAGTAATAGCACGAAACTTTGTTTCACATGTATGAGTAAGTGCTGACTGCCAGATGGCGATATCTGCTCCTCCACGCCCCGAAGAGCAAACATGGAGAGGTAGATCCCTCTAAATGATGAAGATCAGGAAAAGGAGACCTACATTTACAAATATCTTGGTGCACACCTAAAAAAAAAAACTCTGCACCTGCCAAAGAGTGCAGTCTGATCAAAACAGGAGAAAGAGAGTTGAGCACGGTTATCTGGTTTTGCAGTAGCCGGTACAAACACACCAATGGACTGTGACCAAGGTGTGTCGTAGAAATAAATAATCTGTATTTGCTTTAAGGAATTCCCTGAAGCTGCAGACTTAGCAGGAACACCCGCTGACGTACGGACACGTGCAGGCACCGACTCGTTGGAAGCGATTCGCAGCAGTCGCACCTCCGCGAGAGCCAGTTTAACAGCTTTTATTGTTAATATTACCAAGGATGCTGCTGTGGAACTTCGGGATGATTGGCTTTGACGCATTAAAAAAAAAGAAAAAAGGAGAGAGAGACAGATCTTTCCTTACAAGCCGGTTAAGTTGGCAGCAGTTGAGCCTGGAATGCACGCGGTTGCCGTGAACATCAAGTTTTCTTAAAATGTTTCCCTCCTATGTGATTAGATAGGTGCCGATTCAATTTACCGGGTGTGAGACCAAACTTGTTTCTGTGTGAAACGGCCTTTGGATTGTTGCCAGGTCAACTGAAAGCAGAAGCCGTGACACCGTACTTAATTAAAACAAACAATGCGCTCATATTTTTCCAGCGAGACACAAATCATAGCTCTGGAAGAGTTCCCGACCGAAGGGGACAACAGTGAGTGTATTGTGTGAGTGGAGGGCGGGCGCGGCCGACTGTTGTGGTTCTTCTCCGGTCGACGGCCCTGGTCGGAGTTCAGAGTCTGATGCCTCTTTCCGTGACGTCAGCAGCACGGAGCTGGCATGAGGCTACAGGCCTGCCT